CCCCCACCTCTTTTTGAAACCAGAAATATCTAGCCCGCTTCTTCAAACTTGAGTCAGTGATAAGCCCAACAAACAGCTCGAAACATGAAACTTTAATACATTTGTTTGAATTGTCTTTTTTGTTAGCAGTTTAAATAATTTTTTCAGTAAATGCAAAACAACACGGTCTGACAAAAGCCGAAGATTAGAGGTGTTGCAAGAGAGAAACAAACACAAAAAAGAAGGACGGGAGATAATAGCGATAGAGGTTTGAGGGGTAAAAAGGAGCTAATCACACCAGAGCACCCGCCAACCAGACACAGTTTGTCTGAAATGGAAGTTCATAAATTTCGTTAGAAACTATTTAACTTTGCAGTAATCCTTCTCTGATTTCAGGATTTTAGACTGGATTATGTAAAATGGTGAATCAGCCTTTATTTACACCTTTCACTAGCATACTATCTAACGTGAACGAGTTTGTCCGCTGAAAAAGAGCCCAGTTCGCATTTATTATTATGTGACAGGCAAGAGAACCATCCTCGATGTTTGAGATTTGTGAAGAAAGCTAAATGCTCTACATAAAACTCTTTTAATTTCCCCGTGTGCTTACCTCTCTGCCTCTCTCGTGTTCTGAATTGAATTTCAATTCGTTTTAGAACACAAATGCTGAAAGGGCTTTTCAGGTCGATTTGCCCCAATGTCGAGATCAGCGCGTGAACTCTAAACAATTTTGCCAAACAGGGTGGCACGCTCTGCTGAATCTGTGGGACGGTGTGTTTTTGTAGAAACATGTGTGTGTCTTTTGAAATATAAGGCTTTTTCCTTTCTTGTGGAAATAAGGTAGCCTTTGAAATGAAGGACACTTTTAAACGTAGAAACATGGGAGTCTTTTGGAAATATAAGAAATTTTTATTTGTAGAAACGTGTGTGTATTTTTTAATGATCTTTTAATATAAATCGCTTCTAGAAATATCACAAGAAAACATGTTATAATCTAAATCAGTGGTTTTCAAACTTTTTTCGCCCACCGCCCCCTTTTTCACCCAGCCGAGCCCCAGCGCCCCCTACTCCACCCCAATCATCAATGTGACATAACGACATGCATAATATAATAGCAATCACAAATAAAGAGAGAGCTCAAACAGCAGGGTAGAAAGTAACGTGCCTAAATTCTAATGATTTGGTTCTGAATATTAGTTGGGTCACAAATCACCATCATTACAGAGTTTTAAATTAAGCGTGTACGAGAGATAATAAATCACATTTTTCTGCAAACTTATGAAAGGGCATTGAGAGCAAAATGCTGTCATTTTATGCTTATAGTTGTAATCGGTACTAAACGACCAGTGTTATTAACATAAATAAAAATAAAACATGTATTATCACATTTACAGAAGCAAAACGCCAAAAAATAAATAAATTTAAAAAAACGCCCGTGATCATTCGTTTGAAAACAGATTGACATTATCTTTATGAAACGTTTTCTCCCATCAACGTGCTGCAATAAAGTTGCCTGAGATTTGTATCAAATATCTCCATTGTAGAAAATAAAAATATTATTAAGTTGTTCAAATGTGAGAAACCACACGAAAGAAAAAGTATGCATGGATCTTAGTCTGTAATTATCACCATCATCGTCATCATCATCATCATCATCATCATCATCATCATCATCATCATCATCATCATCATCATCATCATCATCATCATCATCATCAT